ACCACCACCCAGTAGTGGCTAACACTTTTAATCCCAGCACTTGGGATCACACACCTTTAATCTCAGCACTAGGAAGGTGGAAACAGTGATATGGCTGGGCAGAGAAAGGAATATAAGGTGGAGGAGACAGGAACTCAGATGTAACATGTCTGAGGTTTCCTAGGGACAGCAGCGGTCTGCGGATTCCCAGAGACAGGATCGCTGCTTCAGTCTGAGCATTGGTAGAGCTAAGAACTCTCTAGTAGCTGACTGATCTGCTTTTCTGATCTCTTGGTTTTCACCCGCTAATATCTGACTCTGGGTTTTTATTATTAGGAACAATTAAAATTTGAGCTATACTCCTTTCCTGATCTCTCACTGGAAGTGTTTTAGGGGTGAGGGTAGGGTGGGGCACACAGTTCTTGTGCCTCTACTTTTAGTGCTGTGAGCTCAGGGACCAATGTGGCCCCATGGTTAATAACAGTGAAGTTCTTCCCTCCGGAGTAACCTGCTAGGAGCTGCATTATCCTAAAATGCCACTATTCTACAATCCCAGAATTTGAAGGAAGTGGGGGGAGGCATGGAGGTGAGAGAGTCAAAGGTTCAAGGCTAAGCTCAGCTACATAACAAATGCAGTTTAAAGAGACCCTGTCTCAAAACAGCAGTAGCAGCTAAACTCCATTCAGATCTATGAAGCCTTGATTTTTTTTAAGTATTTTGTTTTATTTTATGTGTTTGAGTGTTTTGCCTGCATTTTTATTTGTGTACCACATGTGTGCCTAGTTCTGGGGGAGAAGAGAGTGTAGGATCCCCTGGAGCTGGGGTTACAGACAGTTGTGAGACATGATGTGTGTGCTGGGAATGGAACCGAAGTCCTCTGGAAGAGCAGCCAGTGTCTGTAACTGCTGGACCACCTTTCCAATTTCAGTGTCTTGGTATTTTTAAGCCATATGGCCTATGCATTCACTAGAGTTAAGGGCATATGAAGTAATAACTTTTTGTTTGATTTCTGTTTAATTAGAATCACATCTCTTTACCTATTACGCACTTTCTGATGTTATTCCAATCTTAAATATGTTCAAAGGCCTGTTTAGCTCATTTGAGGAAGAAATGGTATCCCCAGAGCAGGATCTGTGGAAAGTGCCAGTTGCCACCATGACTTCAGATTCTGAAAACGACTCCCAGCCTTGGGGCCCAGTCTGGTCACCTCTGCCCCAGCCTATCTGTAGCAGCCAAAAGAGGTGCCTGAACTGGTCCAGGACAGGCACATTTATGTGCCTTAATGGACCTTCTTAGCAGAAGCTTTATTCCTTTTATTAAGATTTGTTTACAAAACATTTATTTTATTTTATTTTATTTTTATATTTTGATTGCATGTGGATGTGAGTGCAGGTGCCTGGGAAGCCAGAAGAGGACATCAGATGGCCCGGAACTGTGACATGGGTGCTAGGAACTGAACCAGTGTCTTGAGAAAGACATTGCTTTCATTGTTTGCATGCAATTTTGTTGTGGGAATTCTGATGAAAAGATGAAAAGCCATAGAGCATGGCTATTGAAAAACATGAGATAAAAGGCCATAATACAGAAGCAAGCTTTTTTCTCCAGGTAGAAAACAAATCTGAACAAACAGAAAGAGCCAATGAGTTCAAACAATGCTTCTCCAACTTGGTCCCTAGGAACTTCTTGGACCTGTGACAATATCAAATCAATTGCTGTTCATTTTTTAAAAAGATTTATTTGATTATGTGTCTTATGTGGGTATGTGCATGTGAGTGTATGTGCCTGAGGGAGCCAGAAGAGGGTGTCTGATTCCCTGGCCCAGAGTTACAGGAAGTTGTGAGAGGGTCGCCCAAGGGGTCACACACCAAGCCTAAGTCCTCTGCTAAAGCCTTACGTGTTCTCAACCACTGCTCCATCTCTCCAGTCCCCAAAGCATTATTTTTCCATATCAAGAAGGTGTGTTTGTCTTTTGTGTTCTGTTTTATTTGTGTACACTACAATTTCCTGGAGACTGTGTGATGGGCTGCCCCAACAGATTGACCGTGGAAGTGTGTATTAGGATACATCTGTCATGTATTAAGCCAGGTATTAAAAATATTTATAAAATCGTAAAGCTGCCTCTCTTCTCACTACATGCTGCAGTAAACATCAATATTTATCATTTAAACATACAAAATAAAAGCTTATTGATTTCTTCAGTAAGTGGTGAGGCTGTAACATGGCTCTGAGACTAAAATCTTTTGAGCCCTGGTAACTCAAAAGAGGAGAAACAGACGTTGGTGCAGTCAGTGCTGGTGAATAAATTTTAACTTAAAATGGAAAAAAGTAGATTCTTTAAAACTAATTATCTAGGTCTGTATGGAATATGGAACCACACCCCAACTGTGTTGCCTGGGATGATGTGAAATGTAAGCGGTGGCCTTTGTAGGAAGTTTAGAGCACTATGGGTCCGTGCGTTTTGCTTTTTATAGATTTCACGTGTTTTAAATATGTGAATGTTTGGTTTGTGTATGCTGAGAGTCTGTGCGAAAAAGAAGGGGGGAGAGGGAGAAGGGGAAGAAGGGAGGGAGGGAGGGCGAAAGGGAGGAAGGGAGAGAGAGAGAGAGAGAGAGAGAGAGAGAGAGAGAGAGAGAGAGAGAGAGAGGGGCATACAAGGTCTTTCTGTATAGCCTAGCCTTGAGCTCTCAATCCCCCTGCCTCTGTTTGGAGTTATAGATGTATAGATTGTGCCTGGCTAGCATTTAAAATATGTTGGATCTGTGGAAGTAAAATTACAAAAAACAGGATTTTTATTTTTAATTTTGTCTGTGCTTGCTGCTGGGGAATATAACCCAGCCGTAGTGTGTGCCACGTAAGTACCAAGCTATAGCCCTAGTCTGTCTCCCTCCCTCCTTGCCCTTCTTCTCTCTGCCTTCTTTCTTTTAATTTTGAGACAATGTCTTGCTATTTTACCCAGGATGGCTTTGAACTCACTCTGTAGCTCAGGCAAGCCTTGAAATCCACAACCCTTCTTGTTTAGCCCTTGGAGTAGCCAGGATTGCAGGTCTGCTCCATGAGGCTACAGATATTGACACTGAAGGGGAGCCTTCAGTATCTGGTACTAAGAACATGACAGATAAGCAGAATTAGCTTCCTCAGAGTTAGCTTCATTGCATGCTGTGCACGTGTGTGCATGTGAATCCTTTTTTCATTCATGGAATGGAATATGGAACACTAGTATCCAGTATTATTCACAATAAAGAATATATCATCTAAACATCTGTTATCAGTTCAGTGAAGATAAAGGGTTATTAGCATTAGGATGACTACTAAGCCTTTGTCTATGGTTGGGGGACAGTCATAAACAAAGTCTTCTGGATATATAGTGGCTATTTTCCATTCAGCATTATAAAATATTAACAACCTTTAATGTGGCTAATTTATTTCTAGCAGTTTCTCCCAGGGACATATTAGGAAACGGGGAAGTAGGTATTGTATAATACAGTGTATTTATAACAGCACCTGTCCATGTACTAGGCTATGTAATAGAAACAGGGGGGGATAATATTACCAGTAAGGACATTATTAAGTTATTAACAGCTTAGCATTGTCACTACACAGCTCTTTCTTGTTCATTACCATGTTATTATAATTAAGCAGGGATGGATAATTCAACATTTAGCATAGTTTTTGAATCCAATATAAAAAGTATATTGAACCAGATGTGGTTGCAATGACAACATGTCGGGAGGTTGAGGCAGAAAGATTAAGAGTTTATGGCCAGCCTGGGCTACATAGCAAGATCCTTTCTCAAAGAATATACGAAAAAGACTTTCAGGGGTACCCACCTTTTCACATTAACAGTGATTGTATCTGTGTTATGAAATAGTGAATATTTTTATCTTTTTGACATCTTTGCTTGTTTTCTTAATTTATTTTTACAATGAATATACCTTGTCAAATAAAGAATAACAATATGGTTCGGTTGCCTCTGCACACAAGTCTTGTCATTTTCACCTATAGATTGGCTGCCTGTTGTGAGCAGCCATGAAATGAGATTTGTCATCTACTGCAGTCTTGGGTGCTCGCTCCATCAGCCAGCGGCTGGTGGAGCGCGCTCACGTTTCTGGAGTGTGCTTTATTCTCCCTTGACCTGTCACTGTGTTGCCACTGCAAACAAACCTGCTGTCCTGACCTTTCCTCACCTAGCAAACGATAATCCTCCAGATTCTAAATTCTGAAAGCTAAACAATAAATCCTATTTCTCCGAGCACAGCAGAAACATGCGATCTGGCCGCTGTAGTGCCTCTCTGTGGCTACACATGGTCTTCTGGTGTAAGCCACATCATTCACATTTCCAGAGGGGGTCGTCCTGCTGTCTTCCAGTCTGCCTCTTGGGGGGCATACACAAGGAGTGTACAGATTCCGTGGTCCCCATGAGCACTGCTTATGGAGACCTTGGCTGATTTTTCTTGAAGAATGTATTAGAATCTGTGGAAACTTCAGGCATGTAGATCTAACAGGAAACACATAAGTTACTAACAGGCCGCATGGTCTTTTTTTCTTACCCCAGTCAGATCTTTTGAAATATGCTTTTAGCTCTTGTAGAGAGCCCATGGTCTGACCATAAACATCTGAAATCATAAACATGTTAATGAAGGATTATGAATTATTTAAATGCAGTCTGCAATCTGATATTTAAGTATATAACCAATCTATGCTGCTTACTAGAGAGTACTAATATGCTTAGGTGTTGGTTCAAATATGATACTGAACATGCCAGCAGAGATGCTGGAAATGTGCGCTATTACAAGCTCTATGTCAGTCCCCTCACTTGCTGTGAAATCTAAAATCTTCATGATTTAAAGTGATACTACATTTTTCGGAATAAAGTTTTAATCCCATAACCCCCTTTAAATAGAAAAGTCAAAGTCTTAACGTTGATCCCTTGTGTGTAATCTGTTGTTCTTGGGGTGGGGGTGAGATGTTTGATGCCGCTGTGTGATTGCCGTGCACTGATAAGTTTCTTTTTAAACTTGCAGCAAATAGTGGCAGCAATAAATGCAGGGATTATCCCCTTAGGAAACAGCTCCAATCAAGTTAGTCACTGGGACCTCGGAAGCTCTTTCTTCTTTGCTGGTACAGTTATCACAACCATAGGTAGGAGATGCCTCGCTTTCTCTTTTCTTGTTTGGTACAGTTTGTGACCTGACATTCATGTGTTCAAATTTCCTGTGTATGGTTGGTCGAAGTCATCTGAGATAGAAAACAAGGGTATAAGACATAGAATTTTGAATTAAAAGTTCGAACTGAGGGAGTTAGCAAGCTAACCATCAGTTCAGAATGTAGAGTTAAGTTTAAAATATCTGCTGTAAAACTCAGGAGCAATACGATGGAGACATTTGATAAAGGATAATATATTGTAATATATCATATCCGCCTGAGATGATGGCTTTTTTGTACAAGCATTTTCCCCTCTTTCCTCGGCCTCTTGTCCTCAGTGTAACAGGACAGGGTTTGATTCTGCCTTTGGCTGGATGTGTTGATTCAATGTCTCCTATCTCCATTTGTAAACCTCAACCCTCCCTTGACAGCCCACCTGTTGTTACACTGGGACTGCTTCAGGGTTTGCTGTTGATGTGTTATATTTTGACAATAACATGGACGTATAACGTATAACGCGTTAACTGGGGCACAAAGCTGGACCCTGGATGTCTTGCTCCTCTTGGTTTTGCTCTGACATTGGAAGTGTTGGTGCAATGGAACAGCAAGATTAGTGGCTGTGACAATCCGGAGGAACGGCAGCCTGAACTCCTAAGCATAATAGCAGGTCCTGGCCGAGACTTAGACATGCTGGCCATTTCTGCTGTGGAAAGAACTATTTATTTCAGAGTCTGCAAGCAAGGGCAAGGGCAAAAGAATAAAGGCTCACAGACTGAGTGAGAAGGGTTTGCGGCTGTCCAAGGGTAACTCTAGAGTTCGCATTGTAACTCACTGTGACTGCCACTAAATTACTTTGCGAGAGACACAGTCGTTATTTGCTCTTAGTGCTGCGCTCTGTGTTGATAAACAGTCTCATTTTCTGAATCCCCAAATACAGTAAGTTTCACAGACATATACTTCAGTGCATAAGAAGAAATAAACCGTTGTTGCCAGCTTTACCTCCAAATTATAGCCATTAAATACAGTAGCTGGTTATTTGGGCTACTTAGGAAGCTGCCTGGAAGCCTGGCCTCTTACTCATCCATCTCAGTTTGTAGCCTTAGGTGGCTCAAGTCATTTTGAGTCACTCCTCTGGGATCTTTTTTATTCCCTGGCCTTTTTTATTCCTGTGTCAAGGCCATTTCCTCTGACCTTGGACTAGATTAGAAGTTAGGGTAAAAACACTTTTTTTAAAAAAGTATCCATGGGACACTTAATTGACATAGAGATTTTGCATTTGTGCAATTAAAAGAATCAATATCCGTATTGCCAGTGCCGCTGTCCTCGTGACTATTTCTCAGCCACATGGGCTGCACCATGCTGCAGGCTGCACGCTGCACTGGTCCTTTGGAAACTAGAACTTGAGCATTTGTCAGGGAGCTTGCAGGGTCTTTTGGGGGTGTCATGTGAAGGTGGTGCCTCATGGGGCCATGTGGGCTGCAGATGTCCACGGCTTTTCTATTTTGCTTTATCAGTTTAAGATGCAGACATGCACTAGGCAGCATCTACATTGGAGCAGTGTTCAGGCGAAGGTTATTTATACACAGCGCCATATTAAGACTTTAAGACCCAAACCTAAGGAATTGCTTCCAAGTTACTTGCCCTTTCTGAAATCAGACCCTCCCACCACCTTTCCCAAATTCTCCACAGCTGCACACACTGGAGTCTACAATCATTCTCCCCACCCCAGCCTACGATCATTTTACCTCCCTCCACTTACCCTTTTCCTAGCCCATCAGTTCACGGAATTGGCTCTGCTCATAAAGCAAACCCATCCATGACTGCTCACCTTCCTAGCTGCTACTTCTTTGGTCCAAGCCGGGGCTACCCCACTCACCTTTAGGAAGAGGCCTGACTCAGGTCCTCTCTCTGTTTCTAATCCAGTCACCAAACAACGCCACGTCTCCTGTGCCCGTCTCTGCTGGTAGGATGCCAGGGGTTCTTAATCTGTTTTGTGTTTTTGTTCCCCCAGAATCTCCCAATTTCTGAGACATAGTAGGTGCTTAAGAATTAATTTGGGGAAGGATCTGGGATGATGGCTTAGTGGGTAAGAACGCCTGCTGCTCTTGCAACAGGATGCAGGTCAGCCAAGACTGGACACCTCACAACTCCTGTACCTGGTTTCAGGAGATTCTTGGCTTTTTTCCTGGACTCCACAGGCACCTGCACACATGTGCTGCATATAAAATCACACAGACACACATAAATTTAAAAAAATCTTTTAAAAGGATCTTCAAATTGAAAACAAAAAGGCATGTAGGTGGTGTGGGCTGCCACTTAGGGGATGTTACTTGACAATATATTGATAGATATGATAGTGGATTCAGGGCTTGTTCAACACATCTCATCATCAGCTTGCTTGTTTGTGCATTTATTTATTTGACAGGTAGTAAACACTCTCTGCTGCCGACTTGCACAGCAGTGAGTCAGGGAGATTGGAGGGTATCAGCGAATCAATCCCACACCAGTTATGTTTTAAGGGGTTTTTTATTTTGGGGGGTAAAACTTACATACACCATAAACCGTCAGGAAGGGAGCCTAGTCGCTGGAGCAGGAGCCGGGAGCAGGAGCCAGGAGCAGGAGCCGGAACCAAGAGCCGGAACCAAGCAGATCTGGATCTGCTTCTCATTTTAAAAGAGAAATATACCACGCCCCAGTGGGCTGGTATTTCAGCAGCTATTGGCTAACGGAGCGGAAATCGCTCCCCGCCGCACTGTGGGCTCATATTTCAGCGACTATTGGTTGAGGCAGCGGAAGTTACTCCCACAACAGGAGGGCAGGTCGAGACAGTAGGCAGAGAAACACAAGGGTGCTAGGTGTATAAGCTAAGAGCGTTTAATGGAACCCATGGTATACTTTACAAGCTCGTAAGGTAAGTGGGTAGGGAAGAAGGGGCAAAGTTTGGTTGCCTCAGAAGGGGCAAAGGATGGTTGCCTCTGGTTGTTAGGTGTTGTCCCAAAACTGAAGGAAGAGTTAGTGGTTTTCAAGGCAAAGGCAAATGGATAAGAGAACTCCAGACATCGAGCTCCGGAAAGAGATGCAGGTAGAAATCCACAGGGTCATCTGACATGGTTGCCCATGTTGGAGAGCCTCCTGCTGAGGATCCTGGGACTTGGTGCCATTCTAAGTGGCTCATGTTGTATCGTTGCTTCTTTTGCCACTGTTGGGAGTTTAAAGAATCAGGGACACCCTCTTTCTGTCGAGATACCATTTACACAGGAAAAGCAGCCATAAATATCACATGATCAGATAGATGTGCCATGGTGCTGGGGTTAGGATGTGGTTAAAAGTGGGAAAGGGGAGAATGTGGGCCACAGCTCACAACAAGTGAATCCAAGTTGAAGGTGAACTGTGAACTAGGGCTGTGTTTGGAAAATGGCAGCTGTTTCTGCCTGTGGAAGGGCAATGCTGGGCAGGCTGTGGCAGGAGCAAACCAAAACCCAGACAGAGCATGAACTGGACTTGATTTGGGGGTTGACAGGTAGACATTTGTGTAGACCAGAGGCTCATTTCGGGGGGCAGCAGGAGATGCCAACTGCTGGGGGAGTCAGTTCAATATAAAATGATATTCAAGGGGTATTATCCCTGCTAAATAAGATAAAACGTTAAAAAAAAGGAAAGTGAGAGGTAGCAGCGACATTAAGATGCATCTTTTAGAAAGAGGCTAAGTTAAAACAGCTCAGTGGATGGAACGATTTTAGGACAGTGACCTGCACGAGCCGCGTGAGCATTGCCAAGGGAGGGCAGGAGCGGCTGTGGAGGAAGAGTCGGAGACGGAGTGCTGGCAGAGTTAGATGAGGCAAGCAGTCGGTCTTGGTGACTAACAGGATGGAGAGAAGCGGGGATAATGCGGAAAGCAGCGTGAGTATTTAGACAGGAGACTTGTAATTCATCGAGAGCGCTCGTTGATCCTATTCAGAAAACGGAGCTCAAAAAATAGCCAAGGTTTTAAATGCTGTGTTATTTTAGGAAGCTTCATTTTGGTACTTTATCCCAAGCTCCCCACCTCCCCCACCCCCTGGCCCTCCTTTGACTTTTATTTCTTTCTTTATTTTAGCCATGCTTTAGTTGCACTGGCTCCCTTACGTTACTTCCTGGTCATTGCCTTGGGGTCAGAAAGGCTGGCGACCCATCATCAGGACATTAATAAACAAGACCATGGATGTTGCAAAGGAAACTGATGTGCAATCGTAGAGAGAAACCAGAGCCAGGAGTGGGAGGCTTTCCCGAAGCGGCTGCTTGCCGCAGGAACTCTGAGGGGGCGACATCCATCTGAAACCTCAAGGATGAGAAGAAGTCAGCTGTGTAAAAGACAAGTGGGAAGATGGGTTCAGTCAGAGGGCACAGCCGAGGCGCGGATCCTGAGTAGGATGGAGTCTGGCACGTTCAGGGCACCCAGCTGAGCTATAGAGCAGACCCTGGTCGCGGAAGGATGCCACAGGGGGCGGGGGTCACACAGCCCTAGGGATGCAGAGGGTCGTGGTGAGGTTATCTGTGGAGTGGGGAGCCACTGCCAGATCTTGTCGAAAGAGTAAGGTGGGGCTAAGGAGATAACTCAGTTGGGAAAACACTTGCTCTGTTAACATGAGGACCCGACTCAAGGGCCTCTCTAGTTTACACTTTGGGCATTTCTTCGGGTTTGAGTAGAGAGCATTTCCTTTTCAGGGCCACCTGCCCCCTTTACAGAGAACACGCAGTTTCCACCACCAGAGTGTGGACATTGAGCTCACTTATGCAGCTTCTACAATGGGGGGGTTTCTATATTTTTCTGTCTTTTTAAATCAACACTTTGATTTTACTTGGCTTGAATTGTGAAAGACGTTATGATATTGACCCCTGACTTGCAGCAAACTTGCATCCCATTGTGTGTCACACTTAACTGATCAGAAACAAACCACGACAGAAGGAGGAGGAGGAGGAGGAGGAGGAGGAGAAATTTAAAGAAAATTTGGAGTAAT